CCCCAAAACCCCAAAACCCCAAAACCCCAAAACCCCAAAACCCCAATAATCTCTAAATTAATTGTAATTTTTAAATATGTTCACATCTCCAAGAGGAAGTATGGCAAACGAGAACGAAATGGAGTCACCCTTCAACAAAACAAGGACTAGCTTCGTCAAGAACTCAAGGCTGTATTCCTTGAGCAACTTCTGATCCTCGTTTTCGACTCCGATCAATGATGTCAGGAAAACCTACCGCTGAACAAAAGAGATCTTCAACCTTGAATCTGTACGAGATGATTCTGAAGCTTCTGATGATGACGACGAGCCAGGGTCCCAAGCTGGAGAGGATACCTCTGAGTATTACCAGGACATGCTAACATCTCTCACTGGGGGATCAGGAATTGAAAGTTTCCATAAATTCCTTATAGACCTTGATGTAGAGATGGATACAATAGAAGAAATGCCCTTCCTAATTTGCCCTCTCAACAGATACTCAGAGGATAGGTACCTCTTCAGATCTCCATGGAGCTCAGAATTCTTTCCTGAGAAGAACAAAGGCGATGACTTCAAAGAGTTCTTCGGTGAGGCCTACAATGAGTTATCCACTCTTGAGAACAGAGCTAATGAGATCTTCAACTTCTACGGAGAGCTTTACTACGCAGGCGAGGAGGGACTCACCACCAGCGTCTATATAATGGATTATGAGAAAGATGAGCTCATTGAATGAATCTTCTTACTCAAGAAGACTCATGAGAAATCGACTTGGTCTACTGCTCACCACTTCAAGCTCAAATTCAGGAGAGACAAAGTTACTATCAACTGCTTATCAGGAGTCTACTGTAGAGTTAACTACACAGCCAAGGTAAATCGCTCTTAACAAGATTTAGAACGGGACAGAAGTTTCATGTCAAACTAAATAAGGACCTTAAAACTGAAGATAGCTTTAAAGATCCCAGAAGAGACAATAAGTTCCTTGTCTCAATCATGGGAAAAATCATTGAGGACGCTGAAAGGTTTGATCACGGTCTAACTCTCTAGAACTTTCTTCAGTAGTATGAAAAATATATGGGTTCCAAAAGGATTTAAAGATGCTGGCGAAAGATTCAGAAAATCTAAGCAGGAATTACAAATAGCGGATAATAGCTCTAACACTACAGAGCCTAGGAAGAGCATCTTCACCAAAATCAAAAGTCTAAACGAAGAGCTAACCAATGTAAGTCTCCAATCTCCTAACATTTCAGCTAAAAATCAAGCCAGACCTAGTAGATCTGCTAAACTCAGAGAAAATGAAGTATTAACTATGAAATTCAGCATATTTTTTGCTAAAAGGGGTTTTGGGGTTTTGGGGTTTTGGGGTTTTGGGGTTTTGGGG